AGGTGTCTACCTTATAGAGAGTCAAAGAAGAAAATGACTGAAGAACGGCAGGGACCAACTCTAGCTGTCCGTTTTAGGGAGGTATCCGCGTTATAAAGAGTCAAAGAAAATGACTGAAGAGCAGCAGGGACCAACTCTAGCCAGCTAGGAAGGTGTCTACCTTATAGAGAGTGAAAGGAAATAATTGAAGAACGGAAGGTACCAGCTCTGGGTGTCTTTTTGGGGGCAGTGTCCGCCTTATAGATAGACAAAAAAAGTAACTGAAGAACGGCAGGGACCAACTCTAGGTGTCCGTTTTAGTAAGGTGTCTACCTTATGGAGAGTCAAAGGAAATAACTGAAGAGAATCAACAAAAATAATTGTCTGGAGCTGACTGTGTCATTGGAGAGCTATATACTGACCACTTTCGAGAAATACATGCGTGAGGAGGGGAGCTGCACTCAACTCGTTTTGCAGCAGCTGCAAAACAAGTTGCACATTTTTGTTGCCCGTTTTACCGTAGCTTGAGATCTTGTCTCAGTTCAGATGATCGCGTCAGTGGGGCAAACATGTTAAGCGGTTGGTCAAGTCAATCAAAGGGGACGTAAAAGAACCGACCCTAATGATTTAAATGAGTAGTGGTCGTTTCCCCAGTGGGGTGGTGTATCAGTCATTGTGCACATCATTTATATCATGGGCTGGGTGGGTTCCAGTCATGAGCTCATAAATAACAGGGTCGACGGTAAGGGGGGCTCCTGATCCAACCACCGCTCCTTTTTTTCACGACAATTCCGCATCCTGAACTTCTGTAATCTCGCTATCCCAAATACCGTTTTCTTTCCCAATATCGATTCCCGTGCCAAGGTTTAGGCGAATCCCATGCCACCTTCCTAGGACCAGTTAGATCCCGTATCCCGTCAATAAATTTGCGTTTTTTCGGATCGCGCTCTATATAGTTCGTGTCAAATCCCGGATCCCGAAAATACCCTATTAGATCCTCAGATAACGGCTTCCTGTAGCGCTCCTGTATGCTGATGTCCGAGCTTACTCTCATTCACGACTTTTTATTCATTTACTCAAAAGTTTTGTCCAACAGGTCAGTTTCATGTGGTTTAATAATTTTCAGAGGAAATAACTTAGGGCCTGTTTACATGGAGGTGGAGGACCCCAGGTAGGTGGGGTAACCCGCCTGTCCATATAATCTCTCATTTAAATTTGATCACGTTTACATGATAGGTTGGGTGACGTGCCACATGTTACCTCACCTATCTGGGGTCCCCCACCTTCATGTAAACAGACCCTTACTACCGAAACAGGACGCTTTGCTGACGTCATTCATACGTGAAAAAACCTTGGAATCCCTCTTTTTTTAAGTGGAATCTCTGAATAAAGGATATCGCGTCAATCACAACCGGGGAAATAACCACACAGGAAGTAAATAAGACACTAAAAATAAAGTGAAGCGTTTTTTTATTGAAAACTCCTACCAGTATTTAACTTCTTGAATCTATTACCTGAATTTCCATACAAAACCTTTATGTTCAAGGCCATTTTGAGGATTACGCAATATGATAAGCCAAAGCTCGATTGAGTTCAAAGTTCAGAGTAATCGAACACAATCAAACCAAAAAATTTGCATAAGAGTTCGATTAAATTCGATTAATAAAACGTTCGGTTTGGTTCGAGTGGTTACACGGGGTATAGCCTACATGTTGCTGAAAGTGCTTGTATGCCTCATAAATCTTTAAATATTATTTGCTAGCTTTGAAGGGAACTATTTCACATATTATGCACTGTGAGGAGGTTGATAAAATTCTCCAAAAACGTTTATTGGTAGGACCAGAAGATTCCTCAGTCACTCCCAGGCCCAAAAAAGATGACTCCTTATGTCAAAGTATTCATTAAAAGGTAAAAGGAGGTGAAGGCGGCCACGAGTCAAAGGCCCAAAGGACTTATCCCGGTTTCCTTATCATGTGGCTGGCCAAGGAGTATTGCTACTTTGCTACTTCTCCCTGGAGGGGATGTTAATCCAGCGCAGGGTTACCCCCAGCTTGGAAGAGAGGGGGGGGGGTACTGCGTATTTCAAATGATAAGGATGATCAAAGGATGTAATCTTCCCTTGCGGGATTTTTTTGGGTAGGAAAATTTGACAAGTATTGATTTAAGTAGGGATTTGTTTAGGTATTCAAAACAATCTGAAGATTTGTGGTAGCTGCATATTCCAGCTGCGTAATGTCTTTATTTTTCGTGTTAGATCTTTTAATGCTTTCTGGACATTCTTAAGGCTAGGAAATTTGGCATGTGATTTTTATGAGGTTTTTTTTTTGGCCCAGGGATTTTTTGGAGGGTTTGATTTTTGCCCACATTCATTCGATCATCCCCGTCACTTGAAATCTAGAGTAGCCATGCACCCTCCCTTGGCCCCCCAGCAGTATGTCGCCAGTACCCATTTTTACATGTACACCTGGGTGAAAAGAGACAAGTGGAGTAAAGTTCCATGTTTAAGGAAACAACACTACAGGAAAGGCTTAAACCCCAGACCTGCAGTTCGAGGGGTCAACCACTCGGCCAAACACACCTCCAAAAGTATTCATTACTTATAGTGACTTAAGTTTGTCTCACGCTAAGAAATTCCTCTTCGACAAGGAAACAATCATTTATTGTATTCGACAAAGTGGTGTAGCCAGTGAACGCAGACATATTTCTGGTTGTTGCTAAATTATCTCCATAGCAGAAATACATCTGTGTGCACAGGCTAAAAAAAGTAAGGGATAGTTTTCCAAAACACCTTGGATATCAAAACCATACCCCGAAAAATAATTTGCAGGAAAATTTTGAACTCTCTTTTGATCCCTTTGCAACGAGAAATGTATCCTTGCCCATCCAAAACCACTAGCCAAGGCACAGTGGCCTTAATGGTAATTTAAACAATCATTTCCATAGAATCTAATTCTAGCATACAAGACAAAAAGGATTGCTATATTCTAACAACATCATTAGCTATTTTCTTGTTTTTTTCTTCTTTTCATGTCTTTCCTTCCTTGTTTGTGAGTCTTTCCTTTTCCATTTCATGTGTTTTAAATGCTCACCTGTTTTAGAAAAACAACAATAATGTTAATAATATTTAATAATAATTAATAATAATAATAATGATAATAATAATAATGATAATAATAATAATAATAATAATAATACTTAAGTATTGTATACCTGTCCAACGTATTCTTTTTCTTTCACAGACATAACATACATGTAACTTACCAAAACTTACACACTATGCACTTTGTATTTTGTGCTTAAAACCTTAAGTGAGTAAAAATACTTTTAAACTCAAAGAAAAATAAACATGGTTGACTTAATTAGCTGCAGGTTAAGGTACAAAAATTATGTAATTTAAGGCTGGCCTTGTACTTTTTATATATTTTGAGTGGCTTTCTATGCTTTTTCCAGTGTTGCAACTCATAAAAGTGTAGTTACATGTACTCTATCATTATGCTACTCAAAACAATTTCTCTTCTTCCCTTGTGTCCTCAACAATAAAAAGTATAAGCTCAAAGTTTTTAACTTATATGATGTTAGGTTCATTTACCACATATGCTCAGAGCAGGGTTGCGAGCTGACAACTTTTGGTCTGTTCCCATCACAATTCAGGAATTTTTTTCAATGGCCACCGTTAGCTCCGAGATGTTCTCACTTCCTCTATGAAGGGTTACGATGATCATGACACCTGCAGTTTTGTGGTTGTTAAGCTGGTGGCAGTCAATGAGATGGTGGATGATGAAGCAGTGGTTTGCATGTATACAACCTGGCAGTCAGTGAAGTAGTGGATAATGTGACAGTGGTGGATGCCATGGCCATCAGTGAGGTGGTGGATGCCATGACGTTCGATGAGGGGGAAGATGATGAGGCAGTGGATGATGCCATGGGGGTCGATGGGGTGGTGGATGATGGGGAGGTGGAGGATGAGGCGGTGGATGATGCCATGGAGGTGGATGAGGTGGTGGATTATGCCAAGGTGGTGGATGAGATGGTGGATGATGCCACGGGGGTCGACGGGGCAGTGGATGATGGGAAGGTGGTGGATGAGGCGGTGGATGATGCCATGGTCGTCTATGATGTGGTGGATGATGTGATGGTTGCCTATGATGAGGTGGATGATGAGGAGGTGGTTGATGAGACACTACAGTTGGATGTGAACACAGTTGTTGAACTTCATTTTCATGTTCTTCTGCTTGGAATCCAATCTACAGAAAATAAAAGGAAATGTCAGAAGAACGTACCAGGACATTGGAACCAACAGACCCATATCAAACTTGATTGTACTCAGGGATAATCATCATTTTTCTATACACGTGTATACTGCAAAATACCTTCCAAAGAATATAAGTAAAGGTAATGGAATGGCAGAGTGGCCGAGAATTCAGCGCGTCAGACTCGCAATCCAGAGTTCCTGGGTTCTAGTCCTCCTCTGGTGACTTGTTGGATTTGTTCTCAGTCGTTGCGAGTTCAAATCCTTGGTCACGCTTGTAAATAGCCAACTGGTTGCCTCCTGCCAGTAGGGGTTTTCAATCCTGTTATGTTCTAAGTATTTGAGTGGATCGAGTGCCTGTAAACTAGCTGGATAACCAAAGTGCACTTTGCACCTAAACAAAATGGCCTGTTACCCTCTGTCACCTTAAGCTACAAACATGCATTTACTGTTACAAGTTTTAGCGTGAGACGAGTTGGAGCAGAACCGCTTTGTCTTGAAACTCCCATCTTAAGGAAATTATTTCTTCCTGTCAATGGTAAATGTACCTCAGCTCCCATAACAGCCATTTGTTTTTTTTCTGATCACTATCTGCCCAGAAAGAGCCAAAACCGCTCAAAATGTCAACTTGAAACTTGATCTGAATGGCAACATGATTATTGCACTAATCTCTTAAAGGGATTATTATTTCATTAATGGCAATTGTGGTGACTTTGATTTCCTTGGAAATACCCAAAGAGAGTCTCAGTTTTAGAAAAATGTGAAAAAAATTTTAACTTTTTACCTTTTTAAGGAGGCCTTGTAGGTATCCCACCTCCTTTTCAAGTCGAGCCTTTTCCAGTTCATATTCAACCACTGATCCAGTTTCCATGTTAGTCTTTTTTATTAAATCTTTCACTTCCTTTCCATACTCTGAGGCAGCTTCAGCAAGTGGTAAACACAAGTGACCAAAGTGTTCAAGAGCAACGCATTCCCTACAAACTGCATGACCACATTTCTCATCAAAAAACCGGAATTTATCATTGTGTTTTTGGCATATGAGGGATTCAGAAGTGAGCTGAGGGTTTGCTTCCAGTTCCTCAAGGGAAACAACCCGATGGTCGCGACTTGCCTTGTTGCGAGTATGAAACTGAGCTCCAGTTTTGCACATGTTTTCTTTGCAGTCAAGGCAGCTGAAATTCGCAGAGTGCTTCTCATCACAAGCTTCGCAATCATGTGAGCCTGTATTACTCCCAACATTTTCTCTGGGTGTGTCATTCACAATGTCCAATAATGCAAAATTCTTTAATAGTCCTTCCACTCCAGTAGGAACAGCACCAGGATTTCTGCATGTGGGACAATCAATGGTGTTACCATGGAGAAGTCTCTCCAAGCAGCTCGAGCAGAAGCTGTGTCCACAACTCAGAAGCTGAGGACATTTGCTTTGGTCATTGTAATGTTCAAAACAGATTGAACACTCTGGTATCTTCGATGTCATTGCCTAAAATGAATAAATAATCCATAACTTGCACAAACGAATTAACAAGTAAGTTAAATTAAAAAGTAAAATGAAAAGAAAGAAAAAGGAACATGCAAATTCAGCATGTTTTAGTCAACTGTTTTCATCAGCATCACTGTTCAGTTGCCGGTACTCTTCCCTCCCCAGTATTATTTGGAGGAGCCTTTCAACATATTACTTGGACAATGTTATTGAAAGGTGAGATAGAGAAAAGGGCATTAGGAAGATATATGATGACCAACTATGGACTGAAGCAAATGAAGACAATATGAGAATTCTTAGAAAACAGATGCAGCTGCTTACTTTGTCTTGATCTACAAGTTTACAGCTGTACATCAGTCAGTCATTTTACAAACTAAGTAACTATGACAAAGTTAAAGGTACCTTAAAATGAGCCTCTAGGACAGTTACATTGTACCCCATAAGGCAGGAAGTATGTTCTATTCAATAACATTTTAAAAGAGTACCTTAAGAGTACAGTATGTTGCCCAGTATCCGGACAGTACCAGTATCCGGACACTTAAAACAAAAACTCAATTTTTGAGGCGCCCTTTTCATTTCTCGGTAAAGGAAGTGTTTCGAATGAAAGCTGAACATTTCAGCTTTAGGATGAAAGTTTTGGCGAGTTTAAAGCTTGCGAAACAGTCGCAGAAGACGCCGTTCTGTTCAGGTGAGTAAACTTTTCATGGCTAATATTTACCCTGTTTACTGCGCAGTAAAATTAGTGCGGCTCAGAAAAGGGTAGGTAATGTGTGATATTTTCAAAAAAACTGTTTTATATTTAATATGAATATACTTCAAGAAGTCAGGTCCTCAGAAAGTGTATTGATTCTTCTTGAAATTTGATTTGTTTGGAATAACGGAGGCAAGAAGCATTCACTAAGTATTGATGTCAGGTGCCCAGTATCCGGACAGTTTTATCTTTGCTGTACAGAATCAATGAATTAGCTGCATACATTATCCGGACAAGATTTATTTCATATCTGTAACTATAATTAAACCTTAGAATATAATGATGATATAGTCGTAAAATGTAATTCTAGTCAACTCCATATCAAAATTTTCTTTACTCATTCAGAGGCGACTTGATTTCATGTTCACAGCTTGTTTCGCGTGACTGCATTTTCTATATATAACCGGAAGCGTCGGAGTTGAACCCGCAGAATTCTCATACTTTTCCCAGTTGTGAATGCTAGAATGGGGTAGCAACGGTCTGAAGAATGTCACAAACGGATTGAAAGATGTGAAAGATGGAGGAATTAGAGCTAGAAAAGAAGACTTATTGTGGGGACTGAGCATGAAGAAATCAACACCGCAGGTTAGTCCAAATAGGAGAGTGACCTTTGACCATCGCATTGAGGTCCCTTCCCCAAGTTCTTTTTAAAAATAAAAAGTGAAGAAACAAAGTCGTTTGCAGATTGGCAAATTGAGCTTGCAAATCGTGGCTTCGGCATGTCCACGGATGCCTTCCTTAAATCAGTGAAAAAGTTCCCAGACAAGGAAGTATTGAATTATACCATTTAACAGCGGCTCGCGTTCTTCACCATACTCATTTGTTATGTTTTACTTCACGATGTTACAATTGTAGGTTATATTTTTGGAATCGATTGCCAGACTACTTTGCAAGTGCAAGAGAAGTTTAAAAGTCGCTTGCCGTTGAAATTTATGTACAGTTACGTTGTTCTTGTTGTGTCCGGATACTGGACCAGCTGTCCGGATACTGGGCAACGTAGGAGCACTGCAAAAATATTAATTTCGCGATGGAAACAAAGGCAAAAAAGTTAAACTGTCTTTCGTCATATTAAGGACTAAATAGATTTTCTCTGGGCCAAATTTCAGAGCTGTTCCGATTAACAAAGGAAACTTATTGCAATGTTAAACTAAAGTGTCCGGACACTGGTCAACATACTGTACCCATAGCTGATTTATAAGTGTTCTATCCTATTTTATGATGAGTGATGAGCACCCACATGGCTGTTTTATGTGGTGGAGGTGGTGGAACTTGATAACCATAGTCTTCTGGGGGAGGGGGTTGGGGGGGGATTAGGTCCCCATGCTTAATAAGGGGGTTAAACCAAAGCCTCAGTCTCATATGACATACAGAGGCAGTCTGCTGACCAATTTCAAAGAAAAAGATTGAGATGTTTATAATGACAAGCCAGAGGTAGAAGCACTTTGACTTTTGTTGATAAAATGAATGAAACTTAACTAGTCGATCCAACCAGGCCGGTTATATAATTAGCTTACAATGCTATGCATATTGCAGAACATAAACTGATCCCATTTGTTTATTTGCGTAAAACAACGCCTCAAACTGAAATAAAGAAACATTTTCTTTGTAAATCTTGCATTTAAATAATAAAGTAATAAGATTTCACCCACAGTTTGAACTTGAAAATCAAAATTTTCCAAAGAAATGTATTAAAGCTTAATCACTGGCTTAATTTAGCTAAATGTGACGGAGCGGGTACGCATCGATGGACACTATGATCGAGCTAAGCGATCGGAGAATAACATAAGCACGAATTAGTCTATTCTATTGCCTAAGAATAAGCTCTACCTTGTATTTCTTTAAGTAAAGAAGTTATACGTACCTTAAGTGAGGCAAAAAGCTCAAAAAACGAGTGCAAGAACCTCATTAACCACCATCGCTTCCGGCTTGTTGCCGCCATGAACTATTTTGGTCACGTGATGATGTGATAAACTGTTACTCTTGCAGGGGAAGGGAGGCTGGGATTAAAGCCCGAATCTATCTTTAGCAAGATATCTAGCAGCCGAACTTCCTTCCACCAGCAATGGGTTATCGGTGTGTGCGCAAATAACAATAAAAAAGCCGTATTGAGCGTTTTAACAAAAACCTTTTTTTCCTTAATGAGCAATGCGTCCAGAGGTGTATTACGATTGTCACCTTGACTGATTAAACCACGCGAGGAAGCCGTACCCATGCAGGCCACAGATGCATGAGCTCGAGCTCTATTTTACCATTTTTGACAGAAAAGGTACCCCTCTTGTTTACCTCCTATTGCCGACAAATGGTACTCCTTTCACATACGTGACAAGAGAGGATAGCTGACCCAGCTTAGGACTCTGCATCCCTTTAAACTGCTGTAAATGCACCGTCTTTATTAATTTATGAATAAATCACAAAACCAAAACGTTTTGGCGATTTCTTTTTACGGGTAATAAAATGCTTCTGTTTGTCCTTTTCTAGTCTTTTTACAGACCAAAGTGACAATTTTTCCTTTCCTTATCATATCCTTAAATTAGTAAATTCCTAACCTTTTATATACCTGAAAACTGAAAAAGGTACCCCTTTCGGGCGGAGCCTTCCCGTATAGGCAAATAAAGGGAGTATCTAGTCCCGGGCAGATGAGATTGTAAACAGATGATATTGTCAGCTCATTAAAACAAAAGTTTCCAAAAACGTTCAAACATTTCCAATTTAATAACAACTGGTGTCGTTTCAAAAATAAAAAGGGGCCCTATTCTATAAAATAACAATAATTCGCCGGGATAATGCAGTCGCCGTTAGTTTTTAAAAAGAAATTCAGTAAGACAGAACATGATTACTTGCACAGTTGTAAATTGTCGACCACATAAGCAAAGAAGAAAATTACCAGTGCAGTAATATGAAAAAAGCAAGTTTCTCAGTTCGACAAAAACTTGGATTTGGGAATTCAAGCTTTTGTAGAAAACATTTTCATTGATGAATAGAAATCGAATGCTCTAACTAAAGCTGGGTTATTTTACCAGCTACATTTGACAACACTGCTGGAAGGGGCAAAACCTCGGCGTAACTTCCACCGAATTTCGTTGAACTGAGCCCAGTTGTTCAAAGGCCCATCAGTGCTTAAGCCGGGGTTAAATTTAACCCGGGTTCAGTTCTCTTTCTTGTGTTCAAAAGCATTTTCTCAGATAATTTTCTGTGTTATTTTTAGAGCTTCCAATCATCAACTTGTAGACAAAAAGAATTAAAACTGAACTGCTTTTTAAGTTTCCAAATCTGAATTCAAATCTCGCACTAACCCTGGGTTATCTGAACCCAACTTTGAACAACTCGGCCCTGGCCAAGAGCTAAGTTTGAAGCGAGGCTGCAATGCATCATGCTACTAGCACGCAGGCCCAACACAACGGACTCCTTTCCTGCGTTTCCAGCTAAGTCTAAAAAGATCTAGTAAGAAAAGTTTGTGACTTTGTGGTTTGTTCATGACCCCTGACCTTTCCCGTAACTGGTCACAACAGACAAAACACCATAAACAATCCCGAAACATATAAGAAGTTCAGGTTTTTTTTATTTTAATTAATACCGTAAATGAGATTTAGTGCCAAAATACTCATTATTCAGTATATCTATTAATAGGGAGATTAAGATTCACGTTTACGCCAAACGGGAAACGTGAATTTGTACCACATGACCAAGTTTTTTTCTTCATTGTCGTTTACTGTTTATTACTTCTGCTCAAAAATAAGTACTTTCACGCCAGCTTTATCCATAAGAATTGTTCTGGACAGTTTTTATTTTCTTATTTTCTATTTTGAGAAATTCTCAACTTGAATCCGACGTTAGCGGTTTGCCGTAAACGTGAATCTTAATCTCTCTAATGTAGGAAGATACCCCTCAAAATTGGAAATGTCTACAATTGTACCTGTATTTAAATGCAACGACGGACCCAGATCCATATCTTGATTGTCAAACTTCAACAGTATACTTGAAAGGCTTATGTATGGGAGAATGATGAATTGCATAAAGAAATACAATCTACTTTACTAATCTTTTCCAAGTGCGGCGATCGCACAGGAAATCTACTCAACGTGCCAAATTAGCCACGTTGATTTAATTCACTGGGGAGCCAATATGAAGCAAGAACTATTTTCTTGCGGTGTCATTATAGAGTGTTTTCACATGACGTAACGGCGGCCATATTGGTGTCCCAAAACAATGAAACGGCGGCCATGTTGGTGTCCTAAACCAATCCTCTGGGAATTGAACTCTTTTCTTATGCAAACGCTTTCTTTTGTTCCAATAAATTTGCATAGATGCTGACCACGTGAGTGAAAACACTCTATTGACCTCAAAAAAAGCTTTTGACAACGTTGACCACATCATAATGCTAGACAAACGTAACTCTTACGGCTTTCTAGGATTCATCAATTAATTGTTTTCCTATTATATCTAAACAACTACACTCAAACAACTTGAATTGGCGACTGAGCACATATGAGCAAAGCCATAATCAGCTCATGAGTTTCTCAAGCTTCCCTTTTGGGTCCTATTCTCTTTGTTGCATGTTAATGATATTCACCAGTGCCCTACAAAACTCGAACTCTATCTTTTCGCTTACGATAACAATATGCACTATGCTGACAAAAATTTTAGACCTCCTGAAACAGTTGCCAATGCTGAATTGCGCAAATTCTACGATTAGTGCAAGTTTACATCTAATAAACTAACTCTCAGTACTCAGGCTAGCAAATCCGGCCATTTTCGCAACCTTTCATCCTAAACATATGAGGCCTGATTATAAACCTAACATTTCTTTATATTTAACAATGAGAGAAATGGAAATGATACTCTTGGATCTAAGGATTATTTCAATATTAAGTAAATGGTCCGCCTAGGAAAGATATATATCACATGAACCAATTGCACAAATATAAAACCTTTAGTTTTCTCACACGGTGTACCAGTGGTATTTATGAGTTGCACCACAATACGTGAATCAACACTTTCACAACTTAATCAAGGTGCAGGTACTCAACAATTCTCTTTGTGCGAGTTGCGCCTCCTACTAAAAAGGTCTAACCTGCCTCTTTGCAGATACCCACTCGTCATATATATTAAAATTACAGAAAAGAGAATTAAGCGAGCAATGCCTTTTCTATCTTCTTTTTGTGGTCCCTGGTACTTCGTCAAAACCCATCGTAGTTATTCCTTTGATGAAACTGATTTGCCACTCCGGCGAAAGACGAAGCCTGAAAAGGCATAAACTGAGGAGAATTCAAACGAAGAGGAGGTTTAACATTTACAGCAAAAGGGCTGCCTTTAATGTGTGCACCTCGCAGGCACACGGACAATGTCAATTGACCACACAACTTTTCAACAGTATATTCTGCCAAGTAAGTTCCATTCTTTCGGTCGTTTAATTCTACCTTTATTTCATTTCCTCCCTTCTCTGGTTTCAGTTTCACTACAAAAACGTCGCCACCACGCTTGCGTTGAACGTTTTGGCTGTCGCGAGAAGTAATAGTGAATGTCGCCTTGCTTCCAGGGTTTGCAGTTGTTATTCCTGGGCCAGTTGCATATGTGTTTGCAGCACAAGTTGATAGGTCACTGATGTTTCCTGCGCTCTGGATAACCGCCGATACCTTGTTGGGACAGTACTTGACAGGCTGAAAGAGATCGTTGCATTTTACATTCTTTACAAATTCAATTTTGAAAAGCTCATTTACTAAAAAAATATTTACTTGGCACGCTTAGTACTTGATATTCTGTTTCTCAGCAGTTTTATAAAATAAAATTGTCTTTGCGACAACCACATTTTAAGCAACTAATGGATGAGTTCGTAGAGAAAGATATATTTGTGAACTGAGAAATGCATTTTGGTGTATCTGTACTCTAATCGATCATCAGGGGCACCCAACGATTTGAGATCTAGACTATTTTCGAAACATTAATTTGTTGTAAAATTTCTTGCTTGCCTGCCTCTCCTAGGATTTTCGAACATCTGAAAAATGGTATAATTGCCTATTTTTAACGGATTTTTCCCCTAAAGAGGTCACCTAGAATTTTCGGGAGCCTTTTTTATGGCTGAAATTTTCGAAAAGGTAAGTTTTGATCCCTATAATTTTCGGATCACTAGACTTTCAGCTAGGAAACCCGAACAGATGAAAAATTTTTAGGGGATAAAAATATTCCTATATCTACCGTTTAAGTACTAAAATACGTTTAACAATGCTATGTTTAAGTGGTTTTGACCTATATTCTTGTTGGGTGCCCCTGGATCATGGGCAACGACTATGCGCAAAGGTGGCCCACACAACTGGTATAGTCTGCACAAAAAGGACACAATCGTAGACTTTGTTCAGGTGATCTTCAAGATCACAATTCAAAACCTTCAGAGTAGCAATGCAGCTTCTCAGAATAACAAGCAGAGACAACATCAGAAAAAACTCAGAATCTTCGAGCAAGGGAAAAGCTTGCGGGGATTGGGATTTTCCCAAAACGAAAACACGTGATACTGACATCACACTGTGTACCAGTTTCTCACATAGGTCTATACAGGCAACGTACGTTGCATCCACTATATTGTACTGAGAGATTAATAATTGGCTCAAATCCTCGACAAATTCTTCAGAACTAGTAAGCGATGACCAAATTTGGATGACTTTTGCGATATCCCCCTTCAAAAGGCATCAATTGCAACCTCGTCCCCAGGGCTTTTCCCTTAAAAAATGGGTGGGGCGGGAAAAGCCCTGGGGACGAAGTTGCATCAATTGAGCAGGATAACTGCACAAAAAGGTAGACATCCGTGAAGCCCTGGGGAAGAGGCTGTGTTAGCTCGGCTTAGGCTCTTTTGGTAGAGCCGGAGACAACGGCGAAAAATTTCACATGGAAATGAGTAGATACTACTTGACGAATACCAACTACCCTGGTACCAGACGGCCGCTTTGCGCAGCTCGTTCTCTCTTACCCGGAGAAAATTTTCAAGAAAAACGTCCGGGACCAGGGTAGATGACAACTGCTATGTGGAGAATATCTGCTACACTATTCATCCCGGAGAAAAGAATGGCGCCCAAAGAAAACCGTTAGCCTAGTCCCAGGCTAATTCATGGATAACTAAGATCACAATTTGACGCAAGCTCAGAGCATATGGTATCAATAGTTTTATCAATCAGTGGATAGAGAGTTTCTTGCATCAACGACAACAAAGAGTAGTATGCGAAGGGGGATGTCCTCATGGGTCCCAGTAACAAGCGGCGTACCTCAAGGATCCGTGATTGGACCTATATTATTATTAGTATATATAAATGATATCCCAGCTAAATTACAGTCCAAAGTTCGACTATTTGCAGACGACAATTTTGTGTATATGGCTGTGACTAACGAAATCTGATCAAATCCTTAAGGAAATAGATGCAGTTAAATATCTTGGCGTCACTGTACACCACAAGCTGTCTTGGAACGAAGAAAACTTATCTTCCATACAGCTTTTACCTAGAACTAAAGCAGTGGAACAGTTTGCCCGTCACACTAGCCACAGCCCCAAGTCTTAATGTTTTTAGAGTGGAGTCTGTGAGCTGAAACATTTTTTTTACGAACCTGACCGAGTCTGAGCATATAAGCCTTGTAGAGAGGGAATGCTTTGTAATATGGTACATGTAAATGTAAATGAATTCTCACCATTCTGCCCTTTTCTTCCATGGTGAATTCCGGCAGAAACTGTGCCTCTGGCTCAAGCACCATTGAGTAGCTTTTTTCGGTCTCGAGCGTGGACACTATGTCCGGCCTGCTGAGAAGGAACTGAACATCGCTCGGAGATTGGATGGAGGACTTTGCTCGTTGGAGTGCATCCTCTAGCAATTCTTGGTTAGTTGTTAAACGGTATAGCTGCTTGGTGAGAATATCTTCCTTGTGTAGACGAAGGCGGAGTAATTTATCCACCAGAGCATCCTCTCGGTTAGATAATGCGGAACGAAGCTAATAAATATAAAAAGGAAAACACACCGTTATATCCGCGGATATATTCCAAACAAACAAATAATCCAGATATCACAGATAAAAAAAATGGATAGGTGCATCCCGAGGTGTGTTCAGTGAATCATTTCAATTGAATCATGTTCCGGTAGGCCTACCCTTAATTATCTAGTCCAACGATACTAGTTCATGATCCGCGATAAGCATTTAAAAATCACTGGTTTCTGCATTCCACGTTGAGGACATTAAATGTCAAAATTTTTTACCATTAATCTGGTTCTTCACTTTCACATGTTTACAGTACCAGTCAAAAGTAAGTTATCGCCCTCTTTTTTGCGAGATGTGAATTGCTTTGCATGCTATGCGATTCACGTCTACACAATTCCTGTAGCACAGGACGCGATTGAAATGTAGTGCGCGATGGCTTAAAAACTGTAAGTACATTATTTGTATCATGGCCAAAATTCTTGAGCGATTTCAAAAATCGATGGTAAAGCCTTTAAACCATGACCAGGGGTTTTTGTTTCTAGTTTATTTAACTGCCAGCATGAACCGTTATTCCGTAGATAAAATGACTGCTAATTGAAACTAGTAAGTAGTTAGGAAAAATAATACTGTTTGCTCTTTCTCCCTAATGAGAAATATATGCCTTACTTCTCTGAAAAAGCGTTCAATTTCAACACGCCTTTCTATGCAAGTCTTCTCTATAAAATCAAATTCTTTCTCCAGTTGATCTTTAGCAGCTTTAATCTTTTCGACTTGACAGCTGGCTTTGGTGACAAGCGCCTCCATCTCCTGTCGGTATTTTGAAGCAGCTTCAGCTAGTACTACACACTTGTGCCCGTTATGATTAAGGGCATAACAGTCTCTACAAATAACATGACCACAATTTTCGTCGAAAAATCGGAATTGATCGTTATGCTCCGGACAGAGAACTGATACAGAAGCCAGCTGAGGGTTTGCTTTCAGTTCCTTGAAGGTAACAACGTGGTGGTCACGACTTAACTTGCTGCGTTTATGAAACTGAGCCGCCGTCTTGCACATGTTTTCTTTGCAATCCAAGCAACAGAAAGTCGCGGGGTGTTTCTCATCACAAGCCTCACATTCGTGCGTGCCTGTATAACCTGTATTTTCAGCATGTTGTTTGGGTGATGTTTCGTTCACGATGTCCAGTAATGCAAAATTCTTTAACAGGCCATGGACCCCAGAAGGAACGGCAACTGTATTTCTGCATTTGGGACAATCAATAGTGTTACCACGGAGTAACCTTTCCAAGCAACACGAGCAGAAGCTGTGTCCACAACTCAGCATCCGAGGACATTTGTTTTCGTCATTGAAACGTTCAAAACAGATTGTACACTCCGGTCCCTTGGATGCCATCGTCTATAACAGATAAATAGTCCCAAAAAAATTCACATTTCAGAAGAAGTAATTTTCAAAACGATAAAAAATGAGAAAAAAGCCATCCCTCAAATTCTTCACATTTCTGTCGACCCTCTTAAGTTTCATTGCTGTCTTAGTTCGCATAAGTATCATCGACATGTTTGTTGTCGTTGGCAGTTTTTCTTTCCCCTGGACTTCGCTTGTCTCAAAGTCTCATAACATCGTAACATCAGTACAGCAATTTGTGTTGTTACGCAAACATCAACGTTTTGTTCATGCACTCAATCTTCAATTGGAGTTGTTAATGATCAAATACTTTAACATGTGACCAAAGAGATCGACCTAAAACTAAATTAAGTTACGATCGTTTGTTGGGTCTGTTGGGTCGGACGTCGAACTTGACGCGTCGAATCAATGAGATCAGTAACAAATTTTCTCCAGAACGAGGCTAAATATACATTATCATACAAGTCTTTAATTTTTTAGGGTTTATTAGTCTAGTTCGTCCCATGTGATGATCGACATTTGTCCCGGAGACGATCTTCAGACGGATGTTGGACGATCCGAACTTAACTGAGTCAGAGGTCGACCTTATCAAAACTTAACTCGGCTAGGTTTGGTTCGTCTCATGTTAAGTTCGACGTTTGGTCTAAGCCTTACAGTAACAATTTCGAATAAAAGGCTCAATCAGATTGCCAGTGGAGTCTAAAAATAATAATATACTACGTGGGAACCTCTCTAATATTTTGCTGTGTCTTTACGGTGTCCGTATTAGAGCAGTTTGACATCAGTACTTCATGTCAAGTATAAGTTTCAGTATGACCTATTGCATAATTGGTAGCGCTTCACACAATACACAAGCGATCTGCTTCAGTTTGTTTCCCATGTGATACTTAAGATTTATCTAACTGCATGCAACGCCGGTTACGTCCAATGAAAAAATGCAGGCGCGGATCCACACCGGTTTTCACCGTTCTACGGAAATCGGTGACATTTCAGTCATAATAATATATTTTTAATAATAAAAACACTTTCCACGTTGAAATCTGGTCAATATCCTGTTCGAATGACTCGGAAACCCAGGAAAGGGGACTTAAGGAGTAAAAATCCAAAAACATTTCCTAGGGGAGCCCGCCCCCCGACCCTTCTAGAAGCTTGCAGTTTAGGAAATAGGTCAGTATTTTTATCCTAGATCCACGCCATAGTTCCTCAACCGGGGGGAAGCAGGGTACGGTTATTAAATGCAACAGCCCAAACAATGTGATACTTCTAATAAAGTGATAACAAATAGTAAAAAGGCTCACCGAAAGTACGTGTAAGAACCTTTTTGTCGAATATTTCTCCACCGTCTGCACTTCCGCCTTGTTGTTGCGAACGAACTTAATGGCGCTGTTGGCCGAGAGGGCTTGGTACACTAAATTCCAGTCCTCACTCCTCTTAATCACTCCTCAATCCTGAATTTCTACTTCCGTCTCAGTGGTTTCCAGCCTCGCTCCTAGGCCACTCAATAGGCACCTTACGACTTACGATCCGACAACGGGCGACGTCCATGAAAACGTCGCTGAAAAATAGACGTCGCATCCTTTTAAACTTTTTCGCTGTTATCCCAATTCGCCCTGTTACTTAGAAGGGAATTTGGGTCGGAGCGGAAGAGAAGGGACCGCGCCCGAGTTCAGACAGAGATGCTAGAATTTATCGCCTCGCCGATCCCGTTCTCAAGAAAACTTAAAATTTGGTCATTTAATTTCACGTCGTAGTTGTGCAGGGACAGTAAAGAAATGCACGTGCAGAGTTGTTGTTTTGCTCATTAAACCTGTTGCTTTTTTGACGTTCTCGTTGCCGTCGCCGTCGCCGTCGTAGTTTCGTACTGTCCCTATTGACTTCGTATGGTATGGGAAGGTCCATAATAATAACCTAGAGTTTTAGCATGTATTTCTACCTCAGCGAATGTTTTTGGACGTTGTAACATTGCATAGCTTCTTAATTCAGGTTTTAATCCTTTGAGTAAATAATTTACGCTCTCTTCAGCTGGTACATTCAATCGTTGACAGAGCTGTCGGATTTCTGAAGCAAATTCAGTGACGCTTTCGTTTTCAGTCTGTTTCCTGTTCGAAAGTTTTTGCCTAAGAAGCCATCTATCCGATTCATTATAGAATTGTGTCACAAGCGCTTCGCCTATGGTGTCAAATGATTTCTCACTGATGTAAATGCGGGCTTACTGTGTACCAAATTCTAGCATTTCCAGTTAAAAGGAGTGGTAGTATACCAGCCTTTTGAAATCCACTTAATTTATAAAATGACGCGGTCAAGTTAACCTGCTCAACTAAGTCAATTATATCTTCTTTTCCACCCCATGAAAAGGTCGGAAATTTGATTGTATTTGCTCCATTGAAACTAGGGATCGACGAGTGTGTCTTTTCAAAAGCCTTAGCTTAGCTAGAGAGATCATCTGTTGTTGGTTAAGTTCATTTTGTGTGGTGAGTAATTTAGAGGTCTTCGTAAGTTCGAGACATACTTAGTTGAGTTTCAAGATCAATATTCTCCTCGATATTAAAGGCTGTGGTAAATTACTCGCAGACCTCGACGGGAATAATTAACGGGAATTAAACCTAAAGGTCGGCTTTCCAAATAACCATAATTACTGTACTCACAATTTCCTTTGCTTGCGTTGCTGTTATCCGGAATTAAGTGCCTGGGTTCTCCACCAGAAATCTGTAGAGGGGGACTTCTACAGACTTCAGGATATGTAGAAAAGAGTTCGTACAACCGAAGTTTACAGTTGAAAATGGTAGTTAGCTATCTCAGATCTCAAGGTAAAGAAGCTACTTGCAAGAGGTTCTATTTATATTGAACAATTACGTTGACTGGTTTTTAACAGTTTTACACAGCATTCATATGCAAGGAAAAGGTGCTAGTAACTCCTTTACAGAGAACAAAAACGATACTTTGAAAGAAACTAAATTTTCCCAAGATTATGTCGAAAGAAGTTCTAGTTTGAGGTCAGAAAAGTGAGTGAAATTTGGCTGAAACTGGTTCAACAGAGAACAAAGAACTCAAAAGGTGTTAGGACGCGTAGCCTGCAAAGCGCAGACGTATTTTCGGTCGTCGCTTCTCTCCCTCCCAAAAATAATTAGGAAGGAGAGAAGCGACGACCGGAAATACGTCTGCGCTTCGCAGGCTATAGGACGCGTGGCCTTAAGCTAGATTTAATGAGGTAGGCAAGACTGATTATTATTCAGGTTTGGAAGCAAAAGTGAGAACTGATTACAGCGTAAAACAAACGAACTTCGTCAAAGAAATTGTCTATTCTTTCAAACACAGCTGAAAACACCTACTAAAGGAAATAATTATTTCCATCTGATGAATTTGTTTTATCTTACCGAAATAATCTCGAAGAGGTGTTTCTCAAAACTAATTATGACTTTACTGTCAAGGTCAGCTTTAAAATTATACTTACGTTAATATTAAGAGTTAAACCGTGCAACTTGCCTTTTTTAGAATTATTTGAAACCCAAACACCAATAAAGAATAAAAGATCGATGCAATAGTCTATGTCCAAAATTCTCACCCATCTTTTGACTGCACTATGCGCAACTTATAATTGAACAAAAGTGTGCCAGTTGGTTAGATACAACTGGAGGCACGTACATCCAGACAAAGGATAGTTGTATCGTGAAGTGAATACAATTCTTCACCGACCTGAATAAATTTGTATCTCTGGATACATAGGTTATTCCCAACACCAAAGATATGGTTAAAGTATGATATGTGAGATGAGAACCGACAAGGAAGTTTTGACCATTTCTGGTTGTTTGTATTACGGTAATTGAAAGCTAACGGCGCAGCAAAATGTTAAGACACTTTCTTCAACCGTAGGAACTATTTCTTAGGGACGACTAACTTTATTCCTTGTCAATCCTTTCCTCAATATTAAATACAGCAAGCGAAATTTCTTTTAAGGAAGGAAGGAAAGCTGAAATAAGAGATAAATATTAAGTTAAATGTCAAGTAGCCTGTACACAGACGTTGTTTTATTTTTCTTTTCGTTCTTTTGGAAAACATCGGCGTGCGCGAGGGCGAGGCGAGCACGCGAGAAAGAAAAATAAAATTTTCTTCTTCCCCCACCCCTACCCCTTTGCGCTGGCGGCCAATAAATTCCACGTGGTTTATTTTTTATCACGCGCGCTCGACGGACTTTGAAGAGAAAATAGAGGGTCTGTGAACAGGCTAAATGTCAATAATAAAATGGCCATAATAAAAGATTTCCGAACGAGGGCGCTTCATTGCTTTTGGACTTAGCGGTGTTATACAAATAGTTCCTATTCAATCTATTGTTTGAGAATTGATAAAGTCGGTTGGCTTTGACTATCGCCTTGAGACAGCTAATAATTATATAAGTAAATATGTTTGTGTATCTTGTAGCTCTCATTTTATTTATTTTTTTGTTTTGTGATTATCTTATTCGTTTCTGACCAAACCCCTAAAATTTAAACTTGAGTAAATACGATCAATAAATATGTGGTTAAGCGATAATAAGCTTAAGGTTAAAATTTTTTTTCGAGGAGGAATATTATGCAGAGACACTTAGGGCCTGTTTACATGGAGGTGGGGCACCCCAGGTAGGTAAGGTAACTTGCTTAGGTGGGGTAAAAAATAACCCTCCTTTACACGCAATCTTACAACCCCGCCATCCTGGGGTGCACTTTCTCAAGATTATTGAATGGTCGCTAAGCTCGTAAACAAGAATTTGCTGGCAAACCACGTGTTTTACATGGCAAAATTGGACCCCGGCTGAGAGGGTTACCCGGTCTGGCAGACCAGGCTACCCGCCTTGGCGGGTCACCCCACCTATCATGTAAACGTGATCAAATTAAAATGAGAGAATTATATGGACTGGCGGGTTACCCCACCTAAGCAGGTTACCTCACCTACCTGGGCTCCCCCACCTTCGTGTAAACAGGCCCTTAATTTTCATAACATGGTTTGAGGCTGAACCGGCACTTCTGTTCACGTCTCGCTCTAACGTTTAGTTATCTTCTAATAAGAGTGGTCATCAACCAACAGCCCGATACCGATTTATCTGCGCCAAATATTATTTTGAATCAAAGCGTGGTAAATGAAATAAAAAAAGAATTTCGATGAATTCAAATTTGGGTTGATATTCCGCAAAATGTGTGTCTACACTTCCATTGATTGCGGTAATTTTATTTCTCAGCATTCCGGGGATTGCCTAGCCTACGTGGAAGGCGTTCGAAAGGGAAGGGGAAGGGAATTAGGGCGCGAGACCCCTTCCCCTTTTAACGCGTGTCACGCAGGCTGGGGATTGCCTTACTTTTTGGGCCATTACCTCTACACGTAAAACAAATAATAAACGGCTTAAGGGGCATCTTTGTCTAACACCCCTAGAGATTTGAAGTGATAAGTCGAATAGCCTCTATTTAAGACCGCACTTTGTACATCACTGTATAGTACCGAGATCCATTCCCTAATAACCTGACCAAAAAACTAATTTACACGTTTTACTTTTAGGGTATGTTTTGAGACCCCGAAGCGCGGTCACGCTGGTTCTGTCGACGCCTCAATTGTTTTGTATTGTGTAGCCAGTCATGACTTAAATTTCAGAGAACTGGAGAAGCGGTTCTTCATGCCAGTCAAGCTCGGGGGAGAATGACGTGTAACTTTTACAACAAAAGGGCTGCCTCTGATGTGAGCACCTACCAAGCACACGGACAATGTGTACTGAACTGTTCGCGGCTGACTATCAGATGACGTGAAACGCATGAAATGGTCATCAGGGACAGTATATTCTGCCAAGTACATCCCGTTGCCTTTGTCTTTTACATCCACCTTAACTTCGTATCCTTCCTTATTTAGTTTCACCGCATAAACGTCGCCACCTAGCTTGCGTTCACGGTCTTGGCTGTCGCGAGAAGTAATAGTGAATTTTGCCTTCTTTCCGAGGTCTGCGCTTTTTATTCCCGAGCCAGTCGCAGTAGAGTTGGCTGCACAAGTTGATCTGTCACTGATGTCGCCTGCGCTCTGCCGGATAGCTTTCTTTATACTTCTGGGACCCGCCATGCCAAAAAAGGACTAAAAGAGATTATTGCAGTCAGTTAAAAAAATATAATTTTCAATAAAAACGATTTACGATTTTTTCTCAGTAGTTGCTCTGTGTAAAACTTTTACTTGCGACAACCACATTTCAGATTTACAATCTTTGGGTTGGTTCATTGCTCCTTTTCAAAAGTTAAAGGTTTATTTCATCATGAAGGAAGGGCTGAAAAACAGAAGGATTCAATATCGATATCTTTCTTCTCACTACTGTACCCCTAAGAGTTTTGGGAAGGGGCAAGATGCTTTTTTTATCTAGTGAATTTCTCTGCTGAGGGGACAAATTCAATAAGTTAATGTTAATTTATTAAAGTTTTTCTCCTGTTAAATATTTTTCTCTCGCAACACTCGACACCTGAGTTTAGCGTTTAGTTCATCTAGTATTCTGTCTAGAAACAGGCTGAAGATCAGTTAAAACTTCGATTTGGGCCGACCATAATTTCGAGGTTTGTATTAAGAAATAAACGTCTCGTTCAACTATTCAGTTTGCAAAATACATTGATTGGTTCAACTTTTATCCTCGGGAACCCAACAGAAATCCGGACGGGATGGAAAATTGTGTTGTCTGCCCTTGAACTGTTGCTAGAACTGAAACCCTCACCTCTTCTTCCGGTGTAAACTCTGGTAAAAACTGGGCCTCCGGTTCAAGCACTAAAGAGTAGCTTTCATGATTTGTCTCGAAAGTGGACACTATAGCGGGCCTACTGTCAAGGAAGCCAACATCGTTATGAGATTGTATGGAGGACTTTGCTTGTTCAACTGCACTTTCTAAACGTTTTTTGTTTGATCGCAAACGTTCTAGCTGCCCCGTGAGGATGGATTCCTTGGATTGATGTAAACTGACCAGCTTATCCAGTAGAACTCGCTCTCGGCTATTTATTGCGTCACGAAGCTATAAGAAAAAAACACACTCACATATTCCTGACACCTCTCCAAAGATAATATAACTTGCATGTTGTCCTTCAGCAGCCTCTATTTGAAAACTACTAACAACACAGGAGCACCCAACGACGGTTTCCTCCTAAATGCACTGAAAACACTATTTAGGCTATCCAGAGTACTTTTAGATCTCTAGAAATGTATACTGTAAGTGGCGCTAAAAAAATTTATCTGTTCTGTCATCCTAGGGCAACTTGAGTCTTTTCGAAATTACAAGGGATTCAGTATTATTTTCCTGAAAATTTTACTAGTTACAATTTAAAGTTTTACGAAAGTGATAATTTTCTGATTCCTCTCTGCATCGCATTTTCGGTTCCGAAAATTTCACGATTGAACAATAGCTTAACCTGGGGAGTGAAATGGGAAAAATTAAACTTCAGAAAATCGTAGATAAGCTTCGAAAATTACATGAATGGAACGGTCATCTAGAAATTCAGATAATCATAGATAAGCTTTCAAAAATTACATGAATGGAACGGTCATCTAGAAATAAATTCTAGGCAATTTTGCTTCTCCGAACAGATATTTCACAGAAAACAGTCATTGGGTTCCCTGACAATATCCCTCACTGATGCTTTTATTTAAGTATTAGCAGCAGTCTAGCAGTTAGTGTTATTCCAAAGTTAATCATTTCACACAAAATTAGAATCAAGCGATGCCGTGTTTGATCGTTTTGTGTCCCGCTTAAAATTTTTGCCCCACTAGACCACTACTAGTAAAAAAAAAATGTCACACCGAAAATTAGCCGATCAAACCCGACTATAGGTCGAACGCCGCTTATCGAAACACAAAAGAATGTGAGAAACAGAAGCACTATTGTCTTCCAAAAATGCAACTTTAACAATAGGAAAAGTTTGATACACCGAAGGGCTACTTCTACGTATACGTATCTAATCTTTAATCAATCACTGATAATCCGTTTTCCATTTTTGGACCATTACTCGTAAGTGGTTCTTGTAATCTCAGGAAATTTTTGATTTTGATCTCCGGAAATTTTTTCGATTTCATTCGAACTAATAACAAAGACACGCCTTACTTGTTGAAAAAACTCTTGAATTTCATCATTCCTTTTTTTGCGAGCCTCCTTCATTGAATCACTTGCTCTCATCACTTGGCCTTCAGCAACTTTAATCTTTTCAACTTGAGAACTGGCTTTGGTGACAAGCGCCTCCATCTCCTGTCGGTATTTTGAAGCAGCTTCAGCTACTAATACACACGTGTGCCCGCAATGACTAAGGGCGAAACAGTCCCTACAAATAACACGACCACAATTTTCGTCAAAAAAGCGGAATGGATCGTTATGTTCTGGACAGAGAGGGTGCGTGCCTGTATGTCCTGTATGTCCAGCCTGCTCTCCAGATGCCATTGTCTATAATAGATAAATAGTAAAAAAAAATTCACATTTAGGAATGTCGAAGTAATTTTCACTGAACGATAAAAAAACGAGAAAAGAGCGATCTCTCAAATTCGGCACATTTTTGTCGACCCTCTTTCTTACTTTAAGATTCATTCATGTCTTCGTAAGTGTCATCGACATTGATGGCAGTTTTCCTTTCCCAGGGGCGGATCCAGGATATTTTAATTGGAAGGGGGGGTGGCTGATACCAATCCACCACCAAACTACACGTCAATTTACTTTAAGTTGTCCTACGTTTGTCCCAAAACATGACGATTTGGAAAGTGCGAAGTGGAGACTGTATCACTGCAAACTCTTGAAAAGCGACAAAACGGAAACAAATAGAAGCTAACAGAAATACCTTACTAACCGGCTCGGCCAAAAGTGAAGACGCCGTCATTCGTCTAGGGTGCAGTGGTGCAGCGCCACCTGACAAATTTCTCACAAACTACACTTCTCGTGTCAATGGCTCTGCATTTCCATGCATGGCGATTGCACGTATTTCTATATTTTTGGGACCCACGTATTTCCGTTTGTTTTTCCGTGTATCAATTTCTTTTTAGGTGGGCTGTCCTAAAGGGGGGTGGCTAGCCACCCAATCCAGCCCCCCTGGATCCACCTCCGCCCCTGTTTCCCCTGGACTTTGTTCAGTCTCATAAAGAAACCATAACATCATACACAAGGAACGGGAACGCTGTATAAAATGTATTTCAGGGGTGGATTTAGACTAGTTCCACTTGTTCCAAGGAA